AAGTCTTATGAATGTCAGTTAAAATTAATAAAACAAAAAAATAGAGTTAATTATGGTTCAGGACCCTTATTCTAAAGTCGCAAACACGGTCTTCCTGTAGGAATTGTGGTTGTAGTTCTACTGAAATCAACAAAAGTTCAATAGAATCACACTAAATATTCCTATGAGAAAGATGAGTGTTACTCAAGAATGCAAGCCCAAACGGGACACATATTTTTTCTCAAAAACAGAGCCAATAATAGCAATTTCGTCTCAAAAGAAACATATTAAAAATGTAATTACTTCCCAAGTTGTTAAATTAGTTTCGAAATAGATTTTTCTGTAATAACTTACTTTCTAACGATCTTGCCGTAAACATGTTAGTATAAATTGTAAATTTATAACCGGAAAACCCAGATGTGGAAAAATTGTAGTTAGGATCTCTTTTATGCGCTATATTAGTGACGACGTAATTTTTGTTCCAGTGACCATTACAGTGACAGTTATACATAAACGTAGAGATAAAAAATATCATAATTTAATCCTAAATATCGCCTACCTCATAGAGGGCGCAGATTATTATTTTTAACCCTCCTAACTTTTTTGTGCCTGCCGTAATAATGATGTGGTTACGTTATATCAATTTTTATTACATTTTCATGTTCTATGTTTTTTGTCTCTTCCTTTTTTCCGAAAAACGCTTAATTTTGTAAATATTTAGTGTTTTATAAGGTCATGTCTGCCAAAAATAGCACGTGTGTTAATCTTGAGGGAAGGCATTTTGAAAATGTAATATAAAATAGTATTATGCATGTATTATGGTGTATTATTGTCGTTTTTATTTGTTTAGATTCTGTACGTTGCTTTTTCTTGAAATAAATGTTTTATGACTTTTTGTAAATTCGAATTAATTATAAACCCGGGTTTTGGCAAATATGACTTTATGAAACACTAAATACTTAAAAAACTGAGCGTTTTTTCGAAAAAAAAGTAAGAGAAAAAACGTAGAAGATAAAAATGACTAATGCAAATTGATATTACATAACCACCATTGGCGGACACAAATTTAGGGGGATTCAAAGTAATAAACCCCCTGCAACTAGCGCCCTCTATGAGATAGGTGATATATTTTGGCTCAAATTATGATTTGTCATCTCAAAAAACTCCGGTGTACCAATTTTAAGCCATCTACAATAAAACAACGAAAATATAATGAAAAAAGTATTTTTTAAAATTAACTTTTTTCATCCTGTATATTGAACATAATAACCCCAATCGAAAAAAATAATAATATAGATGTCTTACACTGACCTAAGGAATCTATGGTGAACGATTGCCCTACTTTTTTTTGGGGCACCCTATATAGGTAAGTGACCGGATATATAACTGGTTTTAAGCCAGAAAGGAGCCTTACCTGCATACAAAATTTGACGTTTTTCTCTAAAGGCATTTTTTTGAGTTATCGCGCCAACATACAGGCGACGACAGAGAGACCTTCAGAATGGGGAAACATGTGTTTCGTAATCTAGGGACCGTGAAACGTGAAGATCCGAAATAATCTCGGTGGGTGACTTTTTCACGATTACAATACTTCCCCCTTCTCGAGGAAAGTAAAAAAAAAAACCGAATAAAAATGACCGTATAAGTGATCAGTCACTTATCTATTTTGCCAACACTAATTTAAACATTAAGAATAATTTGGTTACTTACTGTTTAACAAAACCTAAAACCGTATATTTTAAATTCAATGACGTTTTTGTAAAAAGTGAACAGTCAGTGGAACATAAATATACTACATTAGTGAGATATAATAAGTCATTGTAATTGTCAGTAGAACACAAATTACGTCATCATTAAAACAAGCCCTAACCACTATATGTTCGCCCTTTTCATAATTTTATTCGATATTTATTAGGAAGCTTATGTTTTATATTTGTTTATGAATAAATCTCTAATTTTTTTTTGAGTTGCTTTACCGCGACCCGTTTTCAATAACGAATAAAGAAAATTACGTTAGAAACTGTCACAAAGATACCGTCACACTTTCAACAAATCGGCGTACTTTTGTTACATACTAAATGTTTAAAAAAACATTTTTATTTTCATTACTCATACTTCTCATGCCGTCTCGGTCTATACTGCGATTTTGGAATACCAGTCCTTATAAATTGCAACGGATAATGTACACAATTTAAAGTAATTTAACTGTCTATCAAAAAGGTTATAAGTTCACCATAAATATGCTATAGTTTTCCAGCAATTATCATCAGACGAAAAATTCTCCATATTTTCTTACATTTACTCAAAGTCAGTCTGTGTAATTTAATTTTATTTGCAAAGGACGGAAGTTTTCTTTTTTTATTTTATTTATATTTTTATTTGATAATCCGTATTTGAATAAGGAAATAAACTCAGGGGTAGTATTCTCGAATCACGAATACCGACATTCGCATACGTGTTTTACATGTGTCTCACTTTGTTGAACGAAAACCAAGTGAGACAAATCATAAATCTCGCATGCGAATCTATGTTCGTGACTCGAGAATACTACCCCTGGGTTCGAATACGGAATTCTTTATTTCAACAATATGAAAATCCCTGTTTGAATACGGAATTCGTGTTCGAATAAGGAATTTCCGTAACATGATAATCCGTATTCCAACACGAAATTTCATCCAAAAAAAAATGTCCTATGCTGTCGTATATAATGAATATAAAATAATGCACACATTTCATACTTTTTCGACAATATTTCGATCATTTAGAAATGGCAAAAAATTAAGAGTTAAGGATTTCTACATTTTCAGAGATTAACACTTGCGCTGTCCATGACGTTCATTAACGTCATAATAGTACTTTCTCCCATGCCCATGACGTTTTGTAACGTCATTTGAAGATGTATGTTTTGATGAATGTAGACAAGCCGCTATGCGGTGAATTGTCTTTATAACCCCGTAGGCATGTCAAAACGTACTTAAATTAGTACATTATGAATTTGGTTTTGATATTATATTTGTGAATTTAACATAGCAAGGCTTTAACAGGTTCTAATTTAATGATGTACCTAATTGCTCGAAATTTTAATTTGTGGCATAGACGTGCAAACAAAATAAAAGTTATATGGATTTGAAAAACACATAATATAAAAATATTTTTGGATAGTGTTTTATGCTTTTGCTTGAAAAGTAAAAATATATATTTTTTTAAATGGAACACTGTATTTTATCTCAGTTTTAGAATTCTTAGGGAATACTATATTAAACCCTAGAATATTTTTAAAAAGTACCTAATTAATTTTTTGTGATATAAAATGATACAGACCCCAAATAAAATTATCAGAATTTAAGTAGCTTATCAATAAATTGAACATTATTTAAAATACAGGCTTTTAAGATACCAAACTAACGAATAGACATAATAGAACTAGTTTATTTTTTACAGAGGGATTTGAAACATCTCATAAATATAGCTTATTTTAAATTAATTTTACCTAATTTGAATGCAACACCCTGTATATTATTTTATGATTAAATTCATTAGAAATTTACCTATCTAATGATACCATCATGTTAGCCTATTATACATATACAGTGTGTAATTGATCGATAGCTGTTTTATTATTAAAGATATGTATACATTTTTAAGTTGTAGGACCATATTTTAAAATTATTCCTTAGTTTACAGGAAAGTTCAGAAATGAGTGGTGGAAAAACTTATACTGTTTTAAAATAAAACCCCCTTGTATAACAAATTTATTTGTTCTTACATCGTCAAACAATTTTAATAAACTTTCCATTCATTTGTTACGTTGTATATAGGGTGTGTCAAAACGCAAGATTACGATTTTTTTTAAATGAAATGCCATGTATGCTATACCACAAATTTAATTGACTAATAATTTTGTTTCTTTAGTTTTTATTTAGTTTAGCATTCTTGAGCCTAAACTGATTTTTAACAGCCTGTATAGAACTACGACGAGAGTTTACGTCTTTTTTCATCCTTTCAGACTTCCTTTTAAACTACCCTTGATTGTTTTTGACTCCCCGCCTTCCCTACAAGATTTTGACATGGTGGCTGCGCTTCATTGGCTAATTGTACCACCATTTGAATACCCTACTTCTTTCGATTTATTAATTCCTCATTTATTCCACTCCCTAGATAAGACTTCCGAGAACTTATAGTCAATCACTCAAGACTATCTTGATCGATAAATGAATTTATAGGTACACCGTAAGCCAGCGAACTGGTAATATACTTCTTTGACATCAGTAATTGACAGCCTATAGAGGTCTGTATTATTTTCTCTTTTTGTGTTAACTTCAGTCTGTATTTATAATCAACCTGTATATATAATAGCTATTCCCCAGAATATATTTTTAGATTTTTATTGTGTATGGCCCATGACGTTAATGAACGTCCAAACTTCTAAATGTTCGTATAACGATGGGCCAGAGCGTGTAGTTGGCATTAAAGCTTGGGCAGCGAAAGCGTTAATCATTATTAACCGCCGTGACCGTCATATTAACTGACCTGTGATTCCATTCGTGCTATGGCGGTCATATGAACCGACAGAACACTATTGATTTTAAGATAACGAATCGCGCAGACAGTATTATTTAACAAGTATTTTATTTAGAAAATTAAATCAAAATTTACTTGAAGCCAATTATTTATCTAATCCACTTACATTACAAAATGTAATTGGCCAGTAGGATTCATTTTCGATTTTTAGGTTTGGCAGCTAACGTGTTAATAGAAAAATTAACATTAAGTTTTATCTATCACCATTTTTACAATTAGATCGATAGAAAGAGATTTCGTTTCTCAATTTAAAGCTCAGTTTTGAACTAATCACATTTTTGATATGCTTAAAAAAAGAACTGGTCCCGCATTTTAATGAAAACGATAATATTTCAACCTACTGCCTGTCATTATGTGACTTGCTGATCGTATGTACCTTACTTTATTCCACTTGAAAAACATACTTAGGACCATTTCAGAACAAAACAAACTTCAACAGTTAAATGAGTAGGTACATTTATTAATTTCAAATTTTAATGACTAAAGGTCCTGTAACCTGCTGCTTTCTTTTAATTATAATTACAGTTATTAATTAGAATGCCTTTATACATTAATTTCTTATTATTAAATGACGATTACTGAAACCCACTTGGTAGGACAAATGTACATAAAAAATGATCAATGATCAAAAATATTCGATTGACGTCTCTGCATTTTATTTACACACATCTCATGGGTCAAAATGCTCTAGGTTCACATCACTTCCAGTATTCTGCTTTAGGTTGACACATATCTATTTGTATCAGTCAATATATATATAACGTTAACATTAGGTCTAGCACTCGTTAAATAAAAAAAAAAACATCATCTCTGTATGATTTCGTTATACAAACAAAATATTTAAAAAAATATGGTACAAAAGAATAAACATAAAAAACACACAGAATATAGATAAAAGCTTTATAAAAAACTAATTTGGAAGTATCTTTTATAAATAAAACTTAAATAGAGTTATCACAAATATAAGAAAAATAGAAATGTGTCAACTAATTTGTTAGTTGTATTATTTGTTCAATATACTCTCATTTTTTATTAAAAAATATATAGACGACGTAAAAAAATTGGCAGTATAATTTAAACAATTAAGTTTTTATAGATAGATGGCCACATAGTTTTCTGCAAAAATTAAACCGATTAAAACCGGACGGAAACATTGTCACATTATCAGTTTTGTTTTTTTACACACAGGATATTTTTTTATCCTTATTTAACATTGCTACATTAGAAACCGTAAAATATATTGAAATAATCAAAAAGCAATTAAATCATAAAAAATCGTAAATTATTTCTTTTAAAAACGGAGCTGTTTTTGTTTTAATATTTATAGTTTTCAGGTAAGGTAGAACTCGAGGGGTGAACCACTTCCGAAATACTGGTGTGTTTTCACACGAAATCTCCGAATTTTTACAATTTTCTCTAAATCACCAAGAAATCATCACCGAAACCATGGACAAAATTACTTCAAAATCAATTTTTAACGCCAAAATATAAACGCAGCAGGTGATGGATCAAAAACAAGTGAAGAGCAAAAAAATAGTCGATCAAAAACAAGTCTTTAAGAAAATTGATATTTTCTTAAAGATGTTGCAATAATAATGATCATTTCAGGCGAACCGCTCCCGAAATACAATCGTTACAACTTCTCTAAAAATTTGCGAAATCATCACGGAAATTCTGAAATCATCACTGACAATCATGGTCGAAAACATCACTGAAGTCACTTCAAAATCAATTTATTCCCCGAAATATAAATGTAGGATCAACAAACAACGGCCTTAAATATAAGGGGCCAAGTGCGAGTCGGACTCGCGCATGAAGGGTTCCCAACCATCGTACAAGATTTAATACTATTACGTAGGCAAAAAACGCGTTTCTAGACTTAGATAGGGTCCCGTTGGTTACACTTAGGGAACATAACCCTAAAAAAGTAATTTGAATATTTAATAAGAAAATTTATTGGAATTCATATACAAGTAATGAATTCGCCGAAATAACTGAAATCACATAAAATCATATAGAATCAGGGGCGATTCTGGCAAAATCAAACGATTTTTTGGTGAAATACTGGTACATTATGACCTTAATGGTTTACGCCTCTGGAAAAATCGTATAAAATTAAAAGATATTTCGTAAAAATCACCGAAATTATACAAAACCTTTGGTGATTTCGCCGAAATCGTAAAAATGTATTAGTCTAGGAAATAGCGTGGTATTTGAGCTCTATAGTAAATTTGAAGATTGTTTTCTTCTATACATTATGCGTGGCGGGCCGGCCGTTTCGAAGCTAGGGAAGAGGAAAAATCGAAAAAAAAAAAAATCCTGTTAACCGACTGGAGTTAATGGTAATCATTAGTATATGTATCTAAATAATAGACAAACCAACGTTGTCAGACAAATTCCATTGGCGGTTCGCAAACAGGGAATTTTTTAAAAAATAAAAAAAAACATTCAATGTAACCGGTCCAAACTTTGTTTATATTGTTTCTTTGGCCATGTATATCATGGAAAAAATACGGTCAGAAATGGTAGGTTGGCCATTTTTTAATAATTTTATCCCAAAATTACGAAAGTGTGGTAAAAAAAATTCAAAAATAGGTTAAAACTATTAAATATTTCTGACCGCCTATTTTGGGGTCTATTTAGTCCCAAATAATGATAAAAATGTTGCCGTCAGACAAATTCAGTTTATTTAACCCCCCGCGACGCCCCTCCCAATAGGTTAAAAATTAAAACATTTTTGCCTGTTAAAGATTCAAAAACGTTACAGAATATATTATATTTTATATCTGATATTTTTGTTTACCTACAACCCTCCCTAGAGTTCGAAAATGGGGTTAAAAAGCAGTGTAATTTTAAATTCATATGGAACCGCCAAAATTTAATATTTTTGTGTTAAATACATTAACATTTACAAACCTTTACTTTTATCAGTGTAAATTCAATCCGTCTGTGTACAAGGGGTAAAAAATGTATAAAATTCTTTTTTCACTCCTAGAATCGCCTAATAAGGGTTGTTGTTGACAAAACACGCATATTTTTAGAACTATATAAAACACAGAAAAACGACTTCAAATTTTCAAATACATCATTTTCTTATTTATATTCTTACTAGTTTTAATAAAACATGCTTGAAAGTTTTGACTTTTCCATTATTAGTAATAATAATGTATACATAATGGTTAGCCTGTGATTCGTCTATTAAAAAAATCTGATGTGTCCAATAGTTACGTGATTTTCCTTTAAAGTCCTTCAGTAGAGTCGGCGCACCGAGCGACTTAATAATTTAAATAATTCTATCAAATACAAAAAAACTCGAATTTTGCATTCTTTCTCAAATTTCCCTAAAGGTACATTTTAGAGAAAATATGTGTATGAACAAAATTATAGAACATGACATCCCAAACAACTTTAATTTCAGGAATTTTCTTCTCTAACTATAAATAACAGAAATATCCCTTAAAATAGAAAAATTACCCCTTATAAAGTACCTACCCCCGCCGATCCTTGGATTATGTCCAAAATCTAATGAGCTCATTCTAGGCTAAAGCATAAATTTAAATTTTAAATGGTTTGATGGACCGCAATTTCCTTATTCAATCGACGCCAATTTAGGTATTAAAAGAAACTATTTTTATAATAAATGTTAATTGTCCAAAAAAAAAACTGTACAAAACAACAATTTTTTCATTCGTACATACTGAGTTATTAAAAAAAACATTATATAAACTTAGGCATTTCTTCCTATCAATCCTAACACATACCTCAATGAAAAACATATAGGTAAGTAAAAATAATATTTTTTTATGTATGTTTTTCTTTCTTTCAGAAATAGACAGTTTTGAGACAGCATTAATGGAAAATGAACACCTCTTAGTGATCCCAATATGTAATGTATGATGAAGAACCCAACATTGACTACAAACATTTATTGGATGATATAGATAATGACCATAATGTATAAGTTTAAAAAAACGTTCAAAATAAAAAACATTGATACGATACGATTTTAGGGGTGAAAACGGTATTTTATACAATTTTTAACCCTTGCACAGAGTTAATTTACACTGATAAAAGTAAAGGTTTGTAAATGTTAATGGATTTACCATAAAAATAATACATTTTGGCGGTTCCATATTATAGCGAAAGTAAAAGTTGGAAAGGCTTTTGCTAGGTAGAGGGGGTAAACGTCAAACCACATCGGACGGCTTCGAGAATTTCGCAGTAATGTTTACCTGCCAGTGTCGTCTCATAGAATAAGTAATTTTAATTTTTATTGGCGGAACTGGACAATCGCATGTATTTATGGACTATAAATAATTATTAAACATGGATTATAATATTCAAATCATAATTTTACAAAATTTCAACAGCTATTCACAATTTATTAAACTATTTACTCGAAATTGTTATTAACATCTATAAAATAATTTTGTACGCCAATGTATCGCGTCCACTTCGGTGAGATCCGCCGCAAACCTGTCAATTTATGTGTATAAAGTGGGAGAACTGGCAAAAGCCTTTCCAACTTTTACATCTGCTATAATTTAAAATTACACTTCTTTTTAACCCCATTTTCGAACACTAGGGAGGGTTGTCGGTAAACCTAAATATCAGATATAAAATATAATATATTCTGTAACGTTTTTGAATCTTTAACAGGCAAAAATGTTTTAATTTTTAACCTATTGGGAGGGGCGTCGCGGGGGGTTAAATAAACTGAATTGGACTGACATTTTATCATTATTTAGGACTAAATAGACCCCAAAATAGGCAGTCAGAAAATTTTTATAATTTTAACCTATTTTTAGTAATTTTTGAAATTTTTTACCACTTCCGATATTTTGGAATCAAATCATTAAAAAATTGCCAAACTACCATTTCTGACCGTGTTTTTTTCATGATATACATGACCAAAGAAACAATATAAACAAAGTTTGCACCGGTTACATCGAATGATTTTTTTTTTAAATACCTCTTCGCGAACCGCCAATGGAATTTGACGACGATTGTTTGTCCATTATTTAGATACATATGCTAATGATTACCATTAACTCCAGGTGGTTAACACGAATTTTTTTAATTTTTATTTTTTTTATTTTTTCGATTTACCCCCTCATATAGTATAGAAAAAAAATCTTCAAATTTACTATAGAGCTCAAATACCACGAGATGGTTAACATGACTTTTTTATCGTAAGCCCTATTTCCTAGACTATATAGAAATGCATGCGATTTTTTTTGGGTAATTTTCTAAATATGGGTACGCTTTAACCTTAGTAAAACTCAAAAATGCAATTCCAAGTTTTACTATTTCAACGAGATCTCACTCTCTTTCCCTCTTTTTCTCACAAGCGGTAACAGTTGTAATGAAATCTTATCTTGACACTAGGAATATTATTTTTGAGTTGATGTATACATTGTCAAACTTATTAATGACCTATTAAAAATTTTCTTATTACTACTTGGTAACTAAGTAAATAAACCAAAATCATTAATAAATGCTTAAAATTGTTTCAAAATTAAATAAAAAACAAAAATAAAAAACATGGGTCCATGTTTAAAAGTAAATTGATACAAAGTTCTGAAATTAAGTTAATATTGCAGATAAAATATAGTCCAATTCAAAATGAAAATAAATATCCTCATATAGAAAAATATGTTACCAATATTTGGTTTTCCCTGTAGATTTGGAAAAATATAAAAGATTTTAAAGTTATATTATTAATAGCGTATTAAATTAATCATCTTTACAGTTTCCAATAGAACAACGTTAAATAACGATATAAAACACACCCTGTATAATGCCTACTCAAGAAAAACTGAATGTTCGAGATCTGAGATCTAAAGGGATCTTAAAATCAGGTTGAGCTACAATAGTATTGCTGTATTGTTCAATACCTTAATACTGGATGAAGTATGAATGCTTACATTGGATTTGCAGAAACATATTTCAAAGAAATTATTTCATAAAATCAACACAAACTCCAGAAACTAGAAGCCTTCATAGACTTAAATAACGCAGTCAAAGATATATGACCGTGCGACGTGGGTACGAAAATTTAAACGCAGATCGTCTATTTTACAACGAATTGGACCAGGTATAATAGGAACATGCATGCAACAAAAACCGCTGATCAGCGAAGAACGCTTGGGGCACGATACGTACGACTTCCGCCACACTTCCAAGTACGCTTTATAATAGATTTGGCTATTGTTTGGCATAGCAAGGCGGTTTATCTGAACTATTAATTCATTAGATTTGTTCATTTTTATTTATGGTCTTTAGAATTATTTTTTGCAAGATTTCATTTTTGAAGACCATGACGGTATTTATTTTCATAAAAGAAATTAACAGTTACACTTATGGTAACAAACAATTTTTGAAATTCAACGAAATAATTTCGTTTTAGAACAGCTAGAAATGCAACTGTAACAATTTAAAATCAAACTTAATTTATAGCGAGCAGATTATAATACGATTCCCCACCTTTGCTGAAGTATGTAGTGGGTGGTCTTCACTGATCAGCAGTCTTCTTTGTTACAGGCATGTTCCTATTATACCTTGTCCAATTCATTGTAAAATATACAGTACTCGTTTAAATTTGCGTACCTGTATATCACTATTACTGACAATATTATAATTATACAAGAAAAAATGTTCAAGTCGACAAGAGGCTTCAGAAACCAATGAAAGGAAGATTTTGGAGAGCAGAAGTACAAATTATACATGTTGACTGGAAACATATTTAATAATGGTTATGAAAAGAGGAAACTTCAGATAGGCAGGCCAAATTGTGAGCTACATCAACAAGATCATCTGAGGCAACATCCATTGGTACCAACAAAGAGTAAAAATAACAAAAGAGGATGTTAGAGCGAGCAGTAGCATTACTCTCCAATTTATTAATTTAAACTCTGATTTTGATTGTTTAGTGCTACTTATTTTTATTATTAAAATGGAAAAATTTGGTTGTAAAAAATATGGAATGTGATTTATAAAACTTCCATACGTCCAGTGTCCAATAGTTGCAAATACGACCCCACAATCATCTGGTAAGCAGGTAGATACAGTAAAACCTCTCGTTATATTTCAATCCTGCATACTAGTATCGTTTCAATCATTTTAGAGATGTATGACGAGAGCGGCATTGTTCTAAATGTTGAATATCGGCCCAAAATGAATAAGTCACAATTTCAACTTTCTTGTGGAGTGTTTATTTAATTTTTTTTTGTTGTATTCTGCCCTCCTAAGCCAAATATCAGTTAAAACGAGTTTCGAGAAAAAACACATTTATTAAAAGATGTTTTCCCGTTCCCATGTCTTTGAATGTTGAAGTTATTGTAGGGTACAATAATATGTAGCCATTTAGTTTAGTAATAATAGCATATAGCATACCACTAATCATTTTAGTAATCACAACAGAGGTTGACAATGACAACCCTGTTTTTTATGCTTTTTCTGGGAGACAAATACATAATTAAGGAGAACCACAACTACAAACACATTGATTCATGGTATCCCTTGGATAAGAAGGGAGCATAAAAAATATTCCAAAATAAATGCATACATTACATGGTTTTAGGCAGAAATATCTTCTAATGGCTGGGTACCCTATGAAGAATATTCTGCTATTTACTAAACTAAAGGATAATCTAATCTCAAAAGGGGATGAGATATGTAAATGTTTCTTAATTTTTACGTTTCGAGTGGGATATGGTTCATCTGATGCGGATTTTTTCAAGCTATCTGATGCGTTAAAAAACATGGTCCTTTTTTGGGATACCGTATTTTATCTTAGGGCAGTATATAGGGTAGCTAAAAAGTCTGACAACAAAGTATTTTCTTTGAAACAAATGAATTTATAATTATGAAATTGCTGGATGATGAATAGGACTGTAGTCTGCATTTTTTAAAGGACATGTCAAATTTATGTGTCTTCAGCGTTTAGCGTACCGCCGCCATCTTGATTCTTTAAATGGCAGTCAATATCAGAAAATAGCTCTTTTTCAAGAATACTAAAAAAAGTTCCACATTACTAATGTAATACAATCCCATTCATCACCCTAAAATACCGTGTTGTTAGACTTGTTCGCTACCCTGTATGAATAGAATCAGAAAAAAACACACTACAATTTCATAATTATTCATTTGTTTCAAATAACATGCCTTGGTGTTAGACTTTTTCGCTGCCCAGTATATCTTTTCAATTAGGATGTTCCTTTCAATCATTTTGGGAGCTTTCCTAATGTATCAAAAGCAGTATTCATCAAGAAATATAATAATTATATATGCATCAACTTAACAACAACGTTAGACTCCAATTTAAAGAGACGCACTCCTGGCGATATTTTTAAGACATGAATGTTATCTGATCTTTGGTACCAAAGTGGGTGGAAGACAAACACTTCGTCAAAAAGGCGGCGTGACAGAAGATGCAAGAAAGATAGATGCTCAGAATTGGAGCAAAAGCAAACAGAAACTGGAAGGATTGGGGCGATATAATGGCTAATTATATTAAGGTACAATAGGCATTTTTTCAAAGCAACTCTTAGAAGACAAATACCTGTTAAAAAGCTGGCGAATTCAATTTTTGGGCTGTATTATTTCAATACCATCTTTAAACAAAATTTAACCAATGACCATAATAATTATTTCATAAAATGCCTTTCATTGAATTTCAAATTTTTTAACAAACAATACCTCTTTAAATATATTGACTGAGTAGGTAAGTCAAAGACTTAATTTTTCTATTTTTAAAGCCTCAATACAGGACTTTGTTCAATTCATTTTCTTGCTCATAAGAGTTACTGTTTATAAGAAATTTTCAGCCACGGCATAAAAAATGTACAATCTTAAACCTTGACTTTTACAAATTTAAAATAATAATTATGTTCTAAATTTTATGATTTTGAGACAGAATAATTTAAAAAAGCACCATTAGTTAAAAACGGTCCGCACAAAGAATTTGCGATGAACCAATAATACAACCACTATTCGAATTACTGGATGAGTTCCAAATAAAACATCCGGAATACAATAGAAATAAAAGAAAAAATGTGTTCGACAAATCAATAAAATTCTAGCAATGAAATAAATAAACTTATTTACAAACGAATACAGATAATATGTAAGTGATCTTGAGAATATATATACAAAATATTAAAAATCATGGTATATGTACACCTAACCTACAAAATATAAAAGCAATGACAAAAAAAAATCAATGAATCACTTTTTCGTAATGGTTCATAGTATACGGAGAAGTTCGAGATAAAAGTTTTACACAAATTACACAACTTTTTTTCCAACAATTACACGAACACTTTGGCTAAGCCATCAGCGCCTGCGCTGGCTATATAAGGTCTTGACGGATGAAAAGCGACATCTAAGATACTCTCGTCAAACTTCTTGCGATGAGCTGTAATTTCCTGAACGCAAGTTTTGTTGTCCAAATGCCATAACCTTATCGAACAATCATGGGATCCTGAAAGTTTAAAAATAGACGTTTTACAAAGTTTAATAAGAAAACGTTACAAATAAAAGTTAAAATGGTATGTTTGTTTCTTTAAAAATTATAAAGTTTTTGTTCTTATAATTCTGATATTATAAAAAATGTTATATTAGTCACCAAAGGGTAGAAATAACAAGAGAGGACTGTGAGAACAAGAAACTAAAATCGAGAGAGACAGCCTACACTCCAATGGGCGTGTTTAAGGTAAACGAATTTTACGAATCTAATGCTATTAACTGTTTAAGCACAAATAACCTTTTTTTATGCAATAAATACTTTAAATAGATAATAAATAATAAAGTTATAGTACTTTAAAAAGTTCACTTTTCTAAGTGACATTTATGATAGTTATCTATTTCTAAAATCGGAATAATATTAAGATGTTTTCTTTTCTCATGATACAAAAATTTCAAAACTTCTAACCTCAAATCGATTGTGGGAAACATTGAGATTGCTTTTAAAAAGTGTGATAAAATAAACATTTGTTTAATTTTGCGTTACATTAAACAAAACTGGTTATATTTTGTACATGGTCACCATGAGAAGTAAAAAAATCTGATAAAATGTTTATAAAAGTTCCTCAAAATCTAGACATTCAAAAACAATAATTGGCTAAGGACTGTTGCAAAACACAAACTACTATCGTGTTTTTAAATTTATTTACATGTAAGTAAAGATATTCTTGAATTTGTTTGTTTCCAATTTGATATAAATTTATAAAACGTACCTAGTTGATCGACTAATAGGGTCAATATACCTACCTTTTTACTTAACACTGAGTCTGAGGGTACTAATTAGTTTGCATTATTTTTTAGGTGGATGAAGTTGCAGACAATATAACAAGATGTGCCTCATAAATATACCACCTAAAATTCCTATTAAAGGATCTTTAACTGACCCTGACAAAAAAAAGGATTGCAAATTTGAATTGTATTGTCATTCCATATACAAATGTTATTAATTGGTTAAACGATTATAACAAAGCTTGCCTGTTATTTATTGTATTCTTCAGGAATGTATAAATAAATTGCCTACAATAGGTACCTTGGGTAAATTGTCTAAAGATTCTTCTTTTAATCATGTTTGTACTTTGGCCATTTTTAAAAAAATTAAATAACAATTTTAAAATAAATCAAAATAATCTCGCAATCGAAAACGAGGTTAGGATTTAGATGAACAGATGAAACCGCGTTGCCAGACTTAGCGAAAAAATTTCGCGATCTCGCGATTATAATTTCAATAACATTTTGATTAAGAAGTAAAGTTTATTAAAATAGTAAGTTGCTTCATAAAAACTGAAATTAAACAAATATTTTTTAGTTTTAATATATGTTTTTATGTTAAATTATACGATCTTAACCTTTAAATTGTCGGTTATCCGACTTTATAAGAAGCGGCATTAAGGTAAAAACATACGGACTACAGTCTGTTCGCTATACTTACGCGGGTTTCGGATTAACAAAATTATGCAAATTAGTCATTGACAACCAGTTCCCTAATGTTATTTTAATTTAAATCTGACCATTAGGGCAATTTTACCTAATTTCTTGGGAAGAGGCTTATCGGAACTGGTTGTCAATGACTAATTTGCATAATTTTGTTAATCCGAAACCCCTGTAAGTATAGCGAACAGACTGTACTGTCTGGAAGGTTATAATTTAGCCAATCAGATTTTAGGCTTCAGTATGACGATGTATACAAAATACTGTGGCGCCGTTTCAAATATGCTTAAATTTTTTAAAAATTCTTGTACAAAAATTTGAAAAGATAAAAATTTCAAAAAAATATTTTTAATTAGATTTTGTGCTAGCTTTTAGAATAAAATTTTTGAATTACACTAAATACGCCCATTTATGTAAATGAACCCAGAATTACTTTACCATGCATGTTTTCTGATTCCATTGAAGAGCAATTAAAAAATAAAATCGATGTCAATTAAAATATTTTTGGAATGGACTAGTAATCTATCATTATTATTTAATAATTACAAAAACTAATTACATTTATTTCCATATATACCAAAATTCTAAAATACCTTGTCTAGATATATCTGTAAACAACACACATATAAATACAGTTGATTCCACAAAATTTGTAGGAATAACATTCGATAAAAATCTATCGTTTAAAACTCACTGTCAAAATTTAGCGCCAACCTTAAATTAACAATGTTTTCAACTTCGTGACCTTAAATGCATGTTAAAACCTCACCATCGTCGTCAAATTTACTTTGCAAACGTTTCAAGGTTGATTTAAGGTATATGCGTCTGGGGCGGATCATCCCATGTTAATGAAGTATTTATATCTCAGAAGAGGATTATAAGATGTTGGGCTGGTATTCTACCAACAAATTCTTGTCATTCACTATTTAAAAAACTTAAAATCCTTACCGTATTCGGAGTATATATTTTAGAACGTAACAGCGATTTTCATTTATATAGCACCAGGAACAAAGATGAAATTGTTTCCCCTGTTTGTACATATATTTGTGCTAAGTCACCAACAATACTTGGAATACAATTATTCAATAAACTGTCACAGAGCATAAAAGTGCACCAAAATTAAAAACATTCAATTATCTAATATAATAACAGCTTTTAGAAATATGTCCATATTCAGTGCAAGAATATCTTCCAATATAAATTTGTACTACATGCTTACCACCAAACTGTTCTGGATAATAAATTTATACAAATGTCTATTTTTCGCCTTCCATTTTTTATGTTTGTATTATTTTATTTTATTACTTTTATCTATTGTATTTATACATAAAGTCTAAAAATACTCCAAGACCATTCGCTTTCTTTATTGTTTAAATGTAAAATGGATGAGACAAAAAGTTACTAGAATTGATATTTCAAAAGTTTTTATAAGTCTTCAACAAAATGGTGAAACGATTTAGTGATCAATCAAAAACTTTAATCCTAAACGTAGTTTCCTATTTTAAGAGACACAAATCTATATAAAAATAATGTCTAAAAAAGTAAGCCAAAGTTAAACAAAAGTCAATTAATACATGAATTCGAAAAATTGGCTTTTGCTTTAAAAGAAGTAACAAGAGAGTTTTTATTGGAACGAACATCGACTCAGTTAAAAAAATGTAGTTTTTGAAAAAATTTAAAAAGGAGATAGAGCTGGGTAACTTTAAGCCTGCATTTATGGATGAGACGTGGGTATATACCCAGCAAGGGAAGTGACAGAAAAAGTTGGCAAGATGGAAAGAAGTAAACGCAAGTAAAAAAATAGGAAATGTAATTCGATACATAATTGTCCATGGTGGGTGGCAATAAAGAAAGGTTTATAAAAAATGCAGACCTCATATTTAAAAGTCAAACAAAAATCGAGGATTACCATAATAATATGAACACAGAAAATTTTGAAAAATGGTTTAAGGCGAAATTTATACCTAGTCTGGAACATCCTTCTTTGATTATAATCGATAATGCCAGTTGTCATTCACGGTACATGGAACCAATTCCATGTTATAGTTGGACAAAAGATAAAATGGTAAAATGGTTGCAGGAAAATAACATTAATTATCCAATCTATAGTATGAAATATCAGATTTTTGATGTTGTAAGTCAAAATCTACCTACGAAAATAATTCTACCTAATATATGTTGAGGAATATGGGCATAAAATATTAAGAACTCCTCCATATCACTGCCAGTACAATGCGATAGAGATGGTATGGTCACAGTGCAAATGGTTTTTTTATGATGAAAACATTTTAACAAAGTCATTACTGGAAGATGTATTACAGATTTGGTCAGAAGCTTTGAATAATGTTACCGATACTCAGTGGGACAATTATGTAAGACACACTAAAAACATAATTGTTTCCGATTGAGAAAGAATCAAGCAATTAGATGTTTCTGATCTAGAACCCATTATTATTAATTTAGGTACAACGGCAAGTAGTGATGAGTCTGAATCAGTCAGGTTGTGAAGAAAATTATATTGATTAAAAAAATTTATGAGTTATCAAATAAATATTTTCTTTGCCTCTTGTTATATTTTTTTTTTTTTTTTAACAAAGAGTCTCTTTCACGAATTTGTACTGGTTTTGGATTATCTTTAGAAACTCTAAAGATCTTAAAAACCAATGTTCATCTGGAATATGTATTTTTAAAGTACGAAAGGAAATTGTTCTAGTATCTGTAGACAAAATGTAAAACGTAATCTTAATTTTTTCAAAGTGACTTCTTGTATTCATGTAAACACACCTTAATAAAGTTTACGCTGCTAAGAAACAACAAAGTACAACTGAAATAAGAAGACACACGTGCAAACTGTAACTAAAAATGCGATACTCTTTTGTCAGAGGACTTGGGTGGGCTATTTTTATCAATTTACTCATCTTTATATTTATAATTCTGACCTGACCAATAACATTGTAACTGTTTAAACGGATTAATGAAGATTTGACTTGAATTAAATTATATTTGTTTCTACAGAGTTAATTTTATACAAAATATATAATTTTTTTCATTTTTATGATGAAACGAAAATTCAAAATTTAAATAAATACTATGAAGTCTATATCAAACAATAATCATAAAAACGTTAAGACAGTTCTGTCAAATAAGTCATTGACATTGTTTTAGTGTTCTATTTAAGTTATTATTTTACTACTTTTAGCCAACTGATGACATCAATTAGTTACGTGGGATACAGTATTGCAGAAGACTACTTATTCACAAACATTGGTGGCAAAAACCAACAGAACTTTACGCCGGCCGAAAAATTAAAACTGGCCCCTCTGAAAACGGAAGCGGTTTTGCTCGTAGCTGGTAGAAAAATAAAGAGCATAACAGTAGAGATAGAAGAAATAGAAATCGGAAGCCAAGAGAGTCTTAAATACTTAGATATCTATATAGACAAACATGAGGATGACAGCACATAACTATAACAAAAACGGCTACAAAGACAATAGGAAACCTATCTAGGATAATGCTTAATACCTGGGACATAGAAATTACAATAAACATATCCTAGGCTTGGTTGTGCAATCAATCATCTCTGGAAAAGAGCAATAAACAAAAAAGTATATCTGAACTGATGAGGATTCAAATACAAGTTGCCATAAGAATAATAAGAACTGCATCCACAAGATTAGTGATAATTTTGACTAAAATACCCCCAATAAACATATTAATCTCTTTAAAGAACAGGAAACATTAGGCAGACAGGCGGCCAATGATATTAAAACGCAGAGATGACAGGAATGGTGGCAGGAAGAGCAAAGGAAAATAGACAAAGAGACTCAGTCCTGAAATTCAAATCTAGACCAAAAAATAGCTTGGAACATACAATTTATATGTGTAGTAGATGGCAACTAATGACAAGCAAGGTCGGAATAGTAAGACTAGAGATCTCACACTACCAGAAATGAAAATTGTCATGCTTAGTGACTTTTATGACAACTTAAGTATCAGTTCTGCCAAATAAGTCACTGACATTCATTTAGAATTACTAATGAAGTTATCAATGTTACTTTTAGCCAACTGATGACATTTATTTAGTCTATTTAGTCACCATGTACATTAATAAATAAACGTATTACTATAACACCTTCTTGTGTAACTGAAGGTTTCCTTAATTTTTACCTATATTCTGTTAATTAATCTTAACAGTTTGATTGTTTCATTGTTATTAGATAACAGCTAATTTTGTGAAAACTAATTCAAGATTTTCATGACTTTAGTGTACTTTTATTAAACAGTTGGCGCATCATTCCCAAAAATGATTAAAATTCTTCTTGGCATAGCTCCAAAGTCACATTAAGTTCGGAATTAAAACGCGAAAATGTTGCATTGTTAAATTAGACATCAAAGTATACTTCTTACAGCTGGTTGCAAGAGCGTCCATTGAAATGTATGGTCCTGATAAATTTTGACAAAGCTCGAGATGTGATCTGTCTCAATAACATACTCTTCTCAAATTATTCATAATCTAGATATATGTCAAAGTTTACTAAATATGAATGAATGTTCTTGCAACCGGCTTCTGTATCAATTGTGGAAAAAAATACTGGCTTCACAAAATAACCAAATTTTATGACAAAAAAATATTCTTTTTGTCAGCAAACCAATTTCTAAAATCTCTGAGAAACATTAAGTTTTTAATATTATATATTTTAAAAGAAGTGCCAAAAAATTCAATTAAAAGTATGTCCAGGTTTTTGGAAACGAAAATATGAATATTTTTCAAATATAAAGATATTGTTATTAATTACAGCACTTTGGTTAGACAGAGGTAAAATAAGTAACCAATTGTATTACTTACCAGAAAGAAGGTACAACCCATTGGGATCAACAGCCAAACTTGTAACAGCATCCAAATGCGCGACCATTGAATGCACCATTTTCCCAGTATGATTGTCCCAAAATCGAATGTGCCTATCTTCGTGGGCTGTGATGGTCAGAGGGAGAGTGGGATGGCAGACGATTTTGTTAATTTGTCGCGCACTGCTATTGACGCCATCAGGGGCAGTGGATTCTAGACGCGATACCGGTTTACCCGTTTCTGTATCAAAAATGACGCAGTTTAAACTAGAATAGGACGCTACAATTCGATTGGGTTCATCTCTGACAAAGTCCACACTCGAAGGAATGCCGTCCTGTTCGGATACATAAGTTGAAAGAAGTTGTTGCTGAAAATTGAAAACAAAAATGTAAAACCACTTTTGTATGGTCTCATTATTGCTAATTTAGGTAGGTACTCAGTTGAAGGTACATTTAAAAATGTTCGTTTTTAGAAAATATTTATGACACATATCATTTTGGAGATTATTAAAATATCTAAAATTCCGAAAACTTTAAAAACATATTGAAAGTTTATTAATGATAAATTTATTAACCTAGAACAAGTCAGAGGGGATTATTCTCTAACTTTCAGACGAAAATGCATAGCAACGAAAGCACCAAGCGTACTTCTCAACAAAGTTCGATCACCAAAATGATAAGCATGTGATTATGGTATTCTCCAATGCTAGACTATTTTGTTATTCGTAGGTGATTTTAATTTTTTCTCGTAAGCTGTCATTATAAATCGTAAATGCTGATTGGTCTAAATATCTAAGGTTAGGTATTTTGACATTATTATAATTATAAACTCTATTAGAATATATTGAGGCATATTGCAGAATTATAAGAAATCAAAAACATAATAAACAGCATACATTTGCTGAAATTTAAATATTCAAGCCATAATATTTAGGTTCATATTTTAATGTTTGACTTATCTGCGTCCGAAAATCTTAACCTTAAATGTCAAAACAAGTGCGAACAGCAAAACGCTACTCATGTATAACTTTTTTAAAAGTTGTTTACTTTTTTTACAAGTTGAGAATACCAAAACGTTTGTGTTTTACACTTTTGTTAGTTGTTTGTCGCGTTTCTAGATAGATGCACTGAATGCTTACAAAAACGAAGTTTAGAGAATAAGCCCCTTTATTAATTCAGGTCATTAATCTAGAATATCTGTCAATATTTGCTTCAAACATATTTATTTAAGATGTCAAAAATTACAGAAGCAAAAAATGCATCAGAATCCGTTGAGGTGCCTATGTATCCAGTATTAAAATAATATTAATTTAATTCGGTGACATACATGTTATTTAAATATAATATGTAGTCCATGACATCTTTGGTTCCAATGGGATTTCCATATATTTTATTCAAAATAGGCACTCCACTAACCAATTATATCCTTTTTTTATAAATAATTACCACTGTTGATATCTTTCCAATGCATTTTTTTTTTTTATTTATTTTATATTGGATTTTTATATTTAATTATTGTATTGTTTTTAAATTATTATATCCTTTGCGTTATTTATATGTTTATACGTTTTTGGAGGAAGCTTTATTATGACACACAAGTTGTACCTAGACAAATCGTTGGTTTACAAGCAAAAGCCACTAAGTATTTTTTTTTGACTAGATTTCTTTCGTTCTATAAACTGGCCAAATCCACTGTCCCCAAACAATTATAACCTTATTTTTAAATTCTTTTCATATTCATTAAATCCATTTTATGTGACTTTGTATTTTATTATTTATTTTAAAGAAATTAAAACATTTGAAAGAAAGCAAAATATTAATTAAGGGGACTTTGTGACAGAAAGGAGTCAAATTGAGACAAAGAAAAAATTTCTTTTGCTGTAGAGAATAAATATTAAATGATTATTTTAGTAGTAAAATAAACCTTAAGGAACAAACTTTTAAAGAAAAAATCGCAATACGATATCTTCCATTGGAAAACAAAAAAAATCTATAACATTTGTCACCGTAATCAGGAAAAAAACTGAACGACAAACGGCAATTTTGCGTTGACACTAGAAACTGCTTTGTAGAAAAATATGTATTAAAAGCAAACAGGGCATCATTGCAAAGTTATTTAATATCTGACTCACTTTAGCGTGCGGCGTCCACAACTTGACGCTCTTATCTGCTGAACATGACAATAATTGCTGCTTGGAATTCAAAACGGCCAATCCCCACACGGAATCAGAGTGACCTTGCAGAGTGACATTTAAAATATCAGGTTCATACAAGTCGTATGGATCAATGTTTGAATTTGGTACGTTCCAACAATTTATAATACCATCTAAGCCTCCTGAGTAACAATGTTCACCCGAACCGGAAATAGCCAAACACAACACTGGACCTAAAACAATTTAATAATCATTTATAATAAAATAAAAATATAAAAAATGAGCCGAAAAACAAACTATAGTCTACAGAAAACATATATTTTTTACCTGTGTGACTTCTAAAAGTGTACAAAGGTTCTACATCGAGAGATGCACTCTTCTTAGCCGGAACAGTCTTCTGAAGGTTCCACAATTTAAGAGTATGGTCCTCGCTTGCTGTTATTAACACAGGTTCAGTGGGGTGAAAAGCTAGTGCTCTTACACCATCAAAATGACTACGCAATGTGTATTTTGCATTCCATGTCTTTCTAAATGCCTCCTAAGAAATAACGAAATTTTAATTAACCGAAAAAATGTATCCAATGTTTAAATTTAGAACAGAACGTACTCAATACGATGTTTATTGAGTTATAAAATAAATTAAAAACTAAATTAATTTTAATAATTTTATTTTTAAGATATTCATCGGTATACGCACCTTACTGCTAGCGATATCATAAGTAGATTCAGCATCATTGTTTACAGTGAGTTGAGCTAACTCTCCAAGACCCAATGAAGAATCCACATTATCTTCATCATTTATTCCTATGGCTCTCTTGCCTAAGATGAAAATAAATTTAAACATGTATTAGAAAATCGTTTTTTGCATTGTTACTTTCAGACTTATTACAATTTTACTGTTCTAATCAAGAATTTTGTGCAGTATTCACACTAGGGAGGGACAACTCATTAAAATGATGTTTAAAAATTATTCAATGACTGATTTCGTTGCAATAATTTGCTGGTATGACAAGTTCAATAGTTAATAGTTATAAGTTAAAATGAGTTACAATAATAAATAAGTTACAATAAAGTACAATAATGGAAACCAATTACATAATAACAAGCACCTAGGTGAGAACACCTGTATGTGTTGACAAAAATTAAAATTTTATTTTAATTATATTTAATGAATTATAAAGGAAATAAAAAAACACATTTTTTTTTTTATAAAAAATAATACAATTTATGCAAGAAACAGAAAAAAAATCTATTTAAAAAAGATCCATGTATTAAGTCCGTTATTCTTGGAATATTCTGATAAAACTTTGCATTATTTTGAAAAATGTATATTTTGCTAAATTTACAGAATTTTTTATATGTTTAATAATTTTATGTTATAGAACTTTGTCCCTAGATAATTTACACTGTTTTTAAAAAACTCACTATTTGGTTTTGGTACTTTAATGCACATGTTCGATGCAGTTCTAGTGTTGTCTATTTTCTAAAGGGGTTTTTTAAAAATTCATTTTTTGTATATAACAACACACTGCGTGAATATATAAACATCTAACATTGCTAATTTTTTCATTATATAAAGTTAACAGGCCTCCCCATACTAACTAAGATTCCATACCGTAGTGTAGATTCTACTAGACTGTAGTATAATGTTATTAGTAGATCCTGGTAGAGAAATTGTTTTAGAAGATAAAATTTATAAATCAGAAGTTTTTTTGCAATATATTGTCATGAATTCCTAAGCCGACCCTGTATACGCACGCAATCAACTCGTGACCGAAGCAACGCTGACGCATGGAAACAGCCGGACCGCTCTCGAATGTCTGCCACTGATTCACTCGAAGCATCTGGAATGGCTGGGGAGTGCCGTTTAGTCATATTCGCGAAGTCTCTAGCATTTTCCAGTAGCGGAGTTAGACGACGTATCAGCGCCGAGTTTAGTTTAATATAGAACGTTGTATTGAAAAGTAAAAGTGTAAGAAATAAATTAGAATTGTTAGTTAGTGTTCAATATTATATAAATTAAATAGTACGTCTGAAATAAATTGTAAATAGTGTGTTTTTAAATAAATAAACTTTAAATAAATTAGACTTTCGTTACAATATATTATATGACAGTCCCATTTTAAGTGCTGGTCTATAATTATACCTAAATATTTGGATGTTTCTGTTTCCTGTATGTCTAAATTTTGACATGTTAAGCTTCTAAATTGAGGTCGATCAGCCACTATCTTTGAAAAAGCAATGTAGTTTGTTTTGTTAACATTCAAAGACAATTTAAAAACATCCAGCCAGTTTTTGATATGTTCCATTCCAGCTATAGCATGTATCTTGACGGCTTCCCAATCTTTATCACTGAGTATCATCAGCATATGATACAACTTTACCTTGAATATCAATCTGAGTTAAGCTCTTAATGTATAAATTAAATAGTATAGGTCCCAGAACAGTCCCTTGAGGCACTCCGATTTGTATATTTTCAGGGTTACTCACATTGTCTCTGACCTTTATCTTCTGTTGTCTGTGTGTCAAATAATTTTCAAAAACCTCGAACACGTTGCCCCTCACTCCATTCTGTTCAAGAACATTAAGGGTATGGTCCGTTATTAACCGACTACTAACCGCAAGTAACCAGGATTTTTTGACAGCGGTTCCTGAAAAAAAAAACTAATTTCTTGGTTACTTTTGGACCACGGCCGATATTTACGTCACTTTTGTGACAGATTGACATTCGACTTAATAGTAACCATAAAAATATAGCTGTTAGTAAATTGACGTTTAAGTCACCATTTTTCAGGTAACCGCGTCCCTAAATTAACCGATTTTTCAGGAATGTCAAGTAGAGCGGTTAGATTTGAACCGAGTAACCGATATTTCGATTAATAACGGACCATACCCTTAGGAGCTTCTGATGTGGCACCATGTCAAATGCTTTTGCTAGATCTAGAAACACAGCTATACATTTGTTACCAGTATTCATTTCATCAGTAACATATGAAATCAATTCATGCATAGCATCTCCTGAGTTAAGACCCTCAGTAAAGCCATATTGGTGCTTGGGAAGTAAGTCATTAGTTTTTATCTTTCACACATTTCTCAAATATTTTGGCCACATTACTAATTAAACTAATAGGTCTATAGTTAGTTATTAATTTTGGATTACCAGCTTTATAAATAGGTGTTATAATTGAAGTTTTAAATTGTTTAGGTACGATTTCTGTATTAAAAATACAATTAATTATATGCATTAAAGGTTCCAGTAAATACGGATGTAGCAGTTTCAGATGTTTTACTGTTATACTATCAAATCCCGGGGCACTATTGTTTTTTAAACTATTTATGTGTTTTATAATATCGTTTTCGCATATCGGTTTCAGAAACATTGATTTTTCAGTGACACAGGAAAATCCACATTACATTCAAGGATATTTGTGAACATATTCGTGCCAATAGTCGAAAAGGAGTTATTGCAGTAATTCGCCATTTCATTATCATTTTCAAATTCCTCATTTGTTGGTTAACAATCTGTAAATTAGTATTTTTTTTTTATGATTTTCCTTAGTTGCTTCAGAGATTAATTGATAAGTTTTTTCAGATCATTTTTGTTTTGGTTTATTTTATTGTTATAATAGTCATTTTTAGTTTTTGATATTAGTTTGTTTATTTCTAAATGTTTTATAGTGAGTTTGTTTGTTAATAGTATAGTTTTTTGGAGATATTTTTTAAGTTTATCCCTAGTTTTAATAGAATTAATTAAACCATTTGTTATTATTTTTTTATGGATTTTAATTTTAATATTTTGAGTGGTTTGACATGTTTCAATATTAAGATACGTGTCATAAAAAAAGTTGTGTTGCAATTTCTGGATTATTTTCATTGCAAACACTTTCCCAGTTGACAGTTTCGAATTTTTGTTTTAATTTATCAGTATCGATTTTAGTTATAGTTTTATATGTATTGTAGGAACTTGTGTAGTCATATCATAGCTGATTACATAAGAGTTCACCGATAGATTTTCAGTCTTAATAGTTTTTTAAGAATATACGATCCAAGCATGTTTTACTTTGTGGCCTCATAATAGTGTTTATGTAAAGTATGAAACCATGGGAGTAAAGAGTTGCTTGGTAATCAGTAGTTACTTGATTGGGATGAGTAACATTACAAAAATTAATGAGAATAAAAAGAAAATCGAAGTGAAATAAAAAAAAGCAAAGAGCCTTGGAAAAAAACGTAAAAAAGACCAATAATAAAAGGTCAAAGGTGAGAATGAAGATTTCGAGGGTGAGAAGAAAATAAAAAGAATGATATAACAATATATGTCAGAAACGGAAGTTTGCAAAAAGTGGTATGTGAATATTTTACAGGAGGCACAATTTATGTGTATTAGTTTAGTTTGGCTCTATTTCATCGAAATACCCTTTGGGTACCAGAGTAATATAAACAACCAAAATGTCCTGGTTCTTATTCTGGCCTCCACAGTTATCGGACCACAAACCCTATTTTCACTTTGTAGTTTTAAGATAATCAGCTTAAACTAAATGGCTGCCATTTGGTATTTACTATGTTTTGATATTTAATTCCCCATATATCTCAGTTTGATTAAGTGACATCGATATTATTTTTATTATGCAAATAAAGCACGGTACATACTACCTATGTAGCTCAAAATCCGCATTTACAAAATTCAAGCTTTTTGGAGTCAAATGTATTGGAAGAATGGGATAAATAATATTTTATAAAGAGAAATGAATAATTATGTATTGTGACGCGAAGCCGATTCTTTCTTTGCCCGCGGTATGAAGTCGTAGTGCTAGCCATATAGAGACAAACGCACTGCTTCGAGAAGCTACAGGTAGATCGTTGTGTGGCGTCTGAGTCATAGATCCCGAACATTCTGGATCCCTGAGTGTTCTGGTGCAGAGCTGGTTTTATATAAATAGCGCGTTTGTCGATGGATGAGAAGTTTCAATTTAAGTGTTGGACAGTAAAGACAAATCGTAATAAATAAATTAGAATTGTGATTTAGTGCCTAAGTATTATATAAATTAATTAGTATGTTATGGATAAATTATAAATAAAATGTTTTAAATAAATGAACTATCGTTACAATTAAACAATCGTTACAGTATGAATTGTACAAAATGTAATTAATAATGACGAAATTGAATAGCTATAAATTATAACCTAAAAGTTCTGTTTTATTTTTGCTTACTTTTTTCTTTAGTATTATTATTATTTTGCATTGGTCAACTATTGGTTATTTATTTTACAATAGTTGGTTAAAAAGTGAAAAATGTTTCTTTTTTGTTAATTTTTGTGTTTTCGTATATATTAATAGTTTCATGTTGTTACTACAATAAAAGTTCAATATACAAAGCAGATTTTTATTATTTCTATGATTAAAGGAACGTGATTGATTATTGGCTGGGTAAATCTACTATACTTTTTCTTTGATCATAATGAACAGATAAAAATACTTAAAATGCAAACTAATTAATTTTTACAATAAACCATGTGAACAGATACTTTAGTTACTCTCTTTTTGATCCACCCCGTATAAATAATGTAAGACCAACAATATATTTCATTATCCAATCTGTAATTTGACCTAATTTAATCTTACACAAAATAAAAAACATGTTTCAGTTACATAAATAATAAACTAAAATCAAGGACAATCCTGGTTAATGCCGTTTAACGTATTTTCAAATATCCAAAAAAGCTATCACTTGGTAACAAAACATTTAGAAGCAATTAAGAACGCAGGCGGGATATAGCTTTCTCATTTTCTGGAAAAATTTCGTCTAAATAAACATAAGCTT